AGCTGCATTTGTTGAGAAAATTTGATTTAATTTTGTAGGCTTCATGGTGTTTTCTGGTGCCCAACAGAAGACAGGTCGTTAAAATTTAATCATGGCCTGATGGTCAGAGGTGATGAAGACCTACAGTTCCCATGATCTATCTGCATCAGAGGGAGCATTAATAGCTCATTGCTGCTCTAGAAAGCAGGCCTAGAGTGTCCAATATTGGGTTATCAAACCTGAGGTACCAAAGTCATAATCTTGGAAGCGTGGACTTGAAATTTATTCAGCACACTTTCTCAGACACTGTGTCTGCCCAATTTTGTGTTTGTGTTTGCTTGCACAGCAGTAGGAATATATTCAAAGCTTGTAAGAATTTAGGATTAAGCATATGTATTGATGTCACCCTTAAGACTTGACTTGTCTTTGGCTCTCACTTCAGTTTTCAATGCCTGGGCAAGAGCCCGCCTTTCAGATCTCATGGGATGCCGTGCGCTTGAGCATGCCAATTGGGCTAGTATGGCAGCAAGCAGAGTCAGATGCATTTGAGAGCATGCGGGCAGAAGAAGGTAGGGAGGTGAAATCTGCTGTGCATGACCATTGTTTTGACACTGTGTACACAAAGCCATAGATCCTTTTGGGATTAGTGCTGCCTAAGACAATTTTCCTGTTACGTATCCCAGGACTTAACAGTGTCTGCAGGCAGAATGGTGTCTGTGAGCATTAAAGATTCTTTATCTCCTTAAAATACAAGCAGTCTCCGAATTTATGAAGTGAATCAGAAAGAAAAGTATTGCCTGAATTTAAAAGAAAGCATCATCTGTATTTAAACTACAAAGACTTATCTGTCCTTGATTAAGTTTCTCTGACAGTCCCTATCTTTGCTTTAGAACTTCAATGTAGCTACAGTATTACCACACCGGACCCCTAAAACAAAACCTGGTCCAAATTTGAAGGGAAACAGACAGATTTTACTTCATTCCCTGAGGATCCCAGAAAATATTACAAACGCTGTCTATCTTCCATCTCAGTGTCATCACACCTGGTGAACACTAACCTGCAGGGTTACTTGTTGGGTGGGTTTTACATTCTTTTCTGAAATGTCTGACATGGAATGTGAAGTATCAAACTAATATAAAAGTACGATATCTGTGTCTTAATCTGACTGTAGAGTCACTACTGATGAAGAAGAGAGATTTCCTATGCAGTCTGCCCACATTACTTGCTCTACTCTGTGGGCATCTGGCATCATGCCAGAAGAGAATAAATCTCATCCATTCTTTTGCCTGCACAAGGCAGGACAACATTGCCCAAGACTGCAGGTAGCAGTTTAATCTATTCTTTGGTGCCTTGTGAAAAATATTTTGGCCAAAAACTACCTGTCCTTCTGGCTAGTAGGAAAACAGGCACTTCAGTTATCATAATTAGCATATATAACCGTCCTTAAAACTAGACCTGTGTCCACAAAAAGGAAAAAAATATCAGTTAAGCTTTGTAATTTGTAGACAGTAAGAGAATCATAGAATCATAGAATGGTTTAAGCTGGAAAGGACCTTGAAGATCATCGAGTTCCAACCCCCCTGCCACTAGACCAGGTTGCCCAAGGCCACGTCCAGCCTGGCCTTGAACACCTCCAGGGATGGGGCCTCAACAACCTCTCTGGGCAACCTGTTCCAGTGCCTCACCACCCTCAAAGTGAATCACTTGCATTTCATTGCTCCCAGTTTACAATGCAATATCACCGTGGTCTGATATTCCCCTTTAAATTCATACAGCTTCTATAAGTGACCCTGCACTCAGTATAAACTGAAGAAGTTAATTATTTTTATCTCTTACAGTCTATATCAAAGGATCTCAAAGCACTTCAGAAAGAGCAGGTGCCTGATGATTTTTTTTTTTTTTTGTGAGAGAATGGTCTTGAGTCTTTTGCAGATCCATAAGTATTCACAAAATGTATTTGCATTTGTATGTGATATTTCGGTATGGGAACTACATAATTTTGATTCCAATTGCCATGATTACTACATTTTGCTTCCTCCATATTTTATTTTTTTTAATAGAGCATTCCCCAGAGCTTTCTGCTGCAATTCTAATAGAAATGCTTATAGCATTGGAATGCTTTTCCTACTCCTGCTCTACAGTTCTTACTCAGATTAAATTCCTCAGCGGTGTTGAAAGGAAGATAAGACAAAAAGAGACTGCAAAATCATGCAGCATTTGTTTAATTTTCAAAAGAGTCTTTGTGGAAAGACCATAAAGATGTGAAACTAAATGTATCACATTTCGTATTTTCTCACCTTGAAATTTTACTGTTTTAAGGTATTTTTATGGCAGTGTAACTTCTTTACAGCTTTCATAATAATCCATTTCTGTTTTCTAAGAGACACGCAGTTCAGTTGGTTTTTTTTTTCTGAAGTCTCTAAATATGCCAATTTTCTGATAACACATAAGAAACCTATTACTGTGCTTGTGTTATCTATGAATTAAGTTATTGTTATGCCAGAAAACTCATTGAATATTAAGAGCAGAAACACAAGCAAGCAGCATCTCTACCTAATTCATTTTAAGTTTGAAGTTTACAGGTCATACTTTATTTCAGTGACACATGGTAATTTGCAAAAGCTGCTTGGGATTTTGCTTTTAGCCCACTGCTGTGCTTCTGTTCCAAACAGACCTAACGTTAAACCATCCTCTTTGACTATCAGTAATATATGCATCATAACAGCCAAAGACTTTCCTTAATAGTATGCCCCTTACCAAACTCTGGCTTCTTAACACTTCTGACTTTACTCAGCAGTGAAAGTTAATTTAGTCTTTGATTTACCTGCATCCATTCTGTTGATCTTTTAAGGTTTTGAAAAGCCTATTTTAAATCAGAACTTTGAGTGCAAGAACCCAAGAGTAAATATGTAGTGAATGTTATGGATGATTAATATTTAGGAGATGAGACATCTTCTGAGGATGAAGGTAAATGAGTACAGCCCGTTTTTCTCTATGTCAGCCGCCCCTGAACAGTCTTGCAGCCTCCTAATGCAAGATTATTAAGCTCACATACCAAGAAAATCAGCCTCTGAGTTACTTGCAATGACTATTTTTTAAGAGAAGTTTCTATTCATAGTGTATTTTATCCTAATTCAAAGCAAGGATTGGCACTAAACAGTTGCAGAAAAGAGGTAAAGATTTTTTTGTCACAAGTGTTGTGAAGAGCACTGAAAATTGTGAAGAAAAAAACTGTGAAGAGCACAGGAAAGTAACATCTGATAGCCGCAATAAAGATTGGTGTTGAGACAGATTCTCTCCCTTAACACCTTTTCTTCTGCTTTCTCTCCACAGCCAAGCAGACAGCTGACATGAATCTGGAAACCACACCATACAAAGATGACCACAGCACGGTTGCAATCATATTAAAACTTGGTGCCTCCAGGTCTTTGTTCAGCAATATAGAAAGATACAGGTGTAGTCACGGAGGAAAGCATAAAGCTTAACTACATTCATGCAGAATGGGTGGTCACCAGAGTTATAGGGACCTTTATGGTGTGATGTATTAGGTTGGATGACTGTTAGAAAGAAGAAAGTAGCATGTGATGAAAACCTTTACCTAAGTCTGGTAGGCATGAGCTTTCATGATAGTCTAGTTTCTCAGGGAAAAACGTTATTGACACAAAAGCAGAAGGAACATCAAAACAGTTGTGACTAGTGGTGGGAATTAATTTACGGGTTTTTTTGTTTGTTTGTTTATTTATTTGTTTTGTCTTATGGGGTGCTTTCACAGTTTTCTTTCCTGGTATTCACTCTCCTCTGTATGGCAACATTCAGGCTCCTGGTACTGACGATAGTGCATGTTACACCAGGCCTAAAAACACACGAGGGAGCAAGTGGGAGAAACCAGAGGACCCAATATGAACTGCTCTGTCTGTGGAAATCTGTCTGAATTTGGGGAAAGGATGGACAGTCCTGGTAGTATCTAATTCTAGTGCTTTCAAAATTGCTCTTTGGAAATATAACAAGCCAAATTTTGTCCTTTTTTTTAACAAGTAGTTATTCCAGAGAACTACTTGCAAAGCAGTGACTTGCTCTAGATTTGCACCAAAAAAAGTAAAGCTTAGGTCTGTTTTTTTTCTTGTGTATAATCCTTCAAGGTGTTTTTGATAAATCCTTGCTTTCTGTGATGTAGATGTTCTTACTGAAGCATCTTGGCCTATCAGTACTCATTTGGGCACTACTTTACCTAAATTCTGTTCTTTCTTATGAAAAAATTTATCTAACAGGTTCGTAAGTGAAGACTGCCTTTCTGATGGGTCACCCTGTTTCGACTCAGTATCGAGTTGCTGTTTAACTGTACTCCTGTCCATATAGCCACAGGAAATAAAATTTTCTTAATGTAAGAAATTTCCACACAGTGGAAAAAATGAATTTGTCTTTTGAATATTTTTAATCCTCTGTGAAGGTGAACTATTGAGATACAGATCTGATCAAGATCAGTAAGCTAAATGGTGTTGACCTGAAGACAACAAACTCTCTGCCAACACCTTAATGTGTTGAGAAGGAACTTCTTTTTTTTAATCCAGCACGAAAAATGAATAAATGTTTTAGTAGTTTTTTAGGGTAGTAGTATTGCTATTGTAATGACTTGCTCTTGAATGAAATTTAAGGTCTGTCTTTAGGTCTATTTCCTTAAAGAAAAGTACAGGCTAATGATCTATTTTCAGGCTGAGAAAATTTGAACACTTATGATAAAGTTCTGTGACTGATAATGGCTTCAAAAAGTCAGTAAATCTCGCAGCCTGTGGTTGGCATTCAAGCAGGGAAAAAAAAAAAAAGTGTTGCAGAGATTAATAGCTAAATTAATACAAAAATTATTCTTATTTATGCTGGAGATAGAGTTTAGAAATGGTGTTAAAAAATGAACGCACTGGGAAAAGTACCATTTACTTACTGAGTGAATGAAGCTGTGACTAATTGCTCAGCAGTATGCACATAGGCTTGTGACAAGAGAGGGAGGAGGAATAATTTCTCCCTACCTTAAGAATAAGGATAAAGGTTCATAAAGGGAATATTTACCCAGTTTGCATTTCTGGCATCCATCTGAACAAGGTATGCAGTCTTCAGAGTCAGGATCTTCCACTTCACCTATGTTTTGCAAATCACCAGTTTTGGGTTAATTTCATATAATGGGATGCCAGCAAAGTTCCTGGAAATAAACTTATTCAAATCCAAAAAGGAGAAAGACTCACAGCAATTTCATTCCTCATGTTGAGATAAAGACAGTTTAATAGAATAGTAATGGAAAATGAAAATAATACTGAAATATAATACTAAAATATAATACTAATAATATTAATGCTACTACTACTACCACCACTACTACTACCACCAATAATAATAGTAAAAGAATATACGAGAGAAGTCACCCTCATTGCTCAGGGAATTGGTTGCCCAGCCCAACCCATGCAGTGGTCATGGTTTTCTGACCCCCAAACAACCCTCAGTGGTATACCGAGCATGACGTCTATGGTATGGAATATTCCATTGGCCATTCCATAGTTCTGTCTATGCTCCTTCTCAGCTTCTATAGAAAGCTGAAAAAAGTGCTTGAATACTATAAACATCACCTAGCAACACCTAAAATAATATGCATTATTGATATTCCTGTCATACCAAAACTGAAACATAGCAGCCACTAGAAAGGAAATTACCTCTATCCCAGCTGAAACCAAGACACAAATTAAACAGAATATTTGTTAACTCCTACTGAAGGATGCTTACCTTCTCTACAACTATGCTTCTGACATATATTTTGAGTAAGGTAGTAGCCTCTGAAACATCTTTTGCAGTGACTGGAGTTCAGGCACACCTCACAGTGGCCAGAGCAAGCCACGCAGGTATGGTCTGAATGGTAGTGACCTGGAGGACAGCTCTCTCTGCACTCCCCATGATACAGGAAACGGTCGATCCCTCTTCTGTCTGTGTGGCAATAAAATAGAAAAAAAATGTCAGCAACAGAGGACATCTGTACATAAAAAGCAGCTTTATGAAGCACTGGTGCTGCAGCTGATGAGAATATTTTTCACTGACTGCTAGATTTGTAGTTTTACACAAGATGAACTCAAACCTTCCACATTACTGGGGATTTATGACATATAAAGACGTTATGATAGTGAATAATTACTGTTTACATCCACCAATCTAATAAAGAAAGGATCAAGAGATTTCCATTACCAAATTCCCTTGTAGTGAACACGCAAGTATTTGTACGGTATTGTACATGCGGATAGAGTTGCCATTAGGAAAGCAAAGCTTCCTGCCTCACCTTTGGAAAGGATCAGTCCATTTCTGTACTGGATTACACTGTAATCCTCATCCTAGACACAGCTAGACTCTGGAATAATTTAGATTTGAATTTGAATAGCAAGTGTGCATATATTTGCTATCAGAGCAATAGCATTCTTTAGTGCATGGGTAACTGGGAGGTCCCCTGCTTCAAATCCTTCTGCACGAAACCTGTGAAAACACCTACAACTCCATGTGCCATGTGCTGCAACAAGGGGAGTTTTCGAGTGGGTTGCCCTACAGTATAAATGGCATGCATTATGGTGCTAAGTGTGTTTGATTGCTTTAAGCATAGAGCTAGAATTTGCTTACCATAATTTATTTTTAAAACTGCAGAAAAAGCAGCTATAATAGTGAATAATTGCTGTACCATGGCAGAAGTATTCAGACTTTGTTTCTTTTACTTTTCATGTACAAATCTTTAGAATGATCTTTCCCAGCCTCCTCAGGGTGTGACTCTCACCAGTGTCTGTGTGTTGATACACAGAAATACAGAAATTCACATTGCTGTCCACCATAGGGAGGGACTTGGGGGACAGTTATAGAAACTCCATCACATCTGACCTGAAGCACCATTTGACTGTCTACTCAGTCACATTTCCCAAAGTGAGAAAGTCAATCTCATCATCAATATGACAAATTAATGCCAGCCGTACCAGTGTTTTATTGTAATCTGGACACTTATTACTAAATAAAACCTGGCCTATTAATGACTAGGCCTGAAATGTAAGTAGCAGCTGAAAGGAAAAAGGCTGTGAATCCATTGTGAGCCCTCAGAAAAAGCTCACAAAAAATTCCTCTTTATTAAGTGAATTGAAAGTTAAACCTTAAATACTTATTTCCAAGGGCAGTTCAGGACAGTTACATACATTTGCATGTAACAGCCTCAAGTTCTTTGCCCACCACGTGTTACAGAGGCAAGCGGGAATAATTTTTAAAATGGAGCTTTAAAAGAGGAAGAGTTGCTTTTTGGAACAACCACTATTTAAACTATATTACACTCTCTCTCAACCTAAGCTCTATAAAAATGTGTCCAAAAGACAAGTTTCTATGTGTGTTAGGGGTAAGCTTCTCTTTGCAGGCTCTGTTTGTCCAGCTGTAGGGACACAGCAGCCTGCGGTGGAACCTACCATGCTTGTTTCTCATCCTTCCCCAGGCAGATGTTTTGGAAAGCACCCTGGCTCCCTGCCTGCTTGTGCGAGCTCGCTCCATTTCAGTACAGCACATACTGTGTAGAGGCTGGGGGAGGCATGTATGGAACTTTCTTTTCCAGAGACAGGAGATGCAGATTTGCTGTCCTTTTTTCCCTGTGCTACTCTTTCTGTTTCTGTTAACATCGCTCCTATTCAAAATATACCAAGGGAAATGCATAAAGATGCAAGGGCAATGCAGAGGTGTGTTTTCTTGTACTTTTTTGAAAAATAGTTAAAGTGAGTTCCAACTCCCTTCAGGGTTAAAACAAGATTATGATGCAGATCACTAGCAAAAGCACTACTTATTTTATTGGCTCTAATAACTGGCCCTGATAGCAGAAGGAAAAGGGAACTTGGAGTCCAAGGAAGGAGAAAAAGCTGTAAGAGGAAATCTTCCTTACCTTTTCCACAAGTGGTGCATTTGTTAGGTTCACTTCCACTGCAGTCCAGACAGGTATGATGGCACAAATGACATTGTCCTTTGAATTCAAACTTTCCTCTGGGGCATTGCATAACACACTGACCATCATCAAAGACTCTTTTGAGGCAGAGAGAGGCATAATTACAAATCTAGCAACTACTTCTTCTTTAAATACAAAAGAAACTAACAAGAAACCCAAGATAGTCTTCCTTCACTCTGTTTACAAGTGTCTTTGCACTTCACTCCAGTATTTTCCAGATTTTATTCATAGTATTTACTAAGTGGAAAGTCACTCATGTTTTGAACCTGGATCTTGGACTGCAGAGATTATTTTTTCCTGCCATTTTTCTAAGAAAAATCACCTTTTGGTCCTGTACGTAGACGTCTTTCTACCACAATCCCTGTGGTGGTCACTTATGTCTATTAGAAGGAAAGCAAGACTTGGGCTTTCTCTGTGAAGGAATAACCCTTCTGTTGAAGTTTCTTGTTAGTTTTACTTTAAAGGCTTCCTGTTAACAGTATTATGGCTTCAGTAAAATGACTTTGTACATAAAGTCAAACATCAATCTGAATCTTGGCCTTTAGGAGCTGTATTTTTAGACTTGCATATCTGCAAACACTTAGGAGTTTTTCTGCTAAATGTTCTCCTTTGCTGGGTAATGAAATAATTGCTACAGAATTCTTTTACATGATGAAAATTTCTCGTCCATTTTTCACCACTATTTAATCTCTACTGGATTTAATCTGTTTGGAATAAAAGTAGAAAAACATCAATACAGATATGTCTATTAAAAGAATATAAAACAAGTTGGTTAGAATTTGTCAGTGTTTTCAATATTAAGAAAAGAAGAGAAAAGAGACTGTAATCTTCCACACTTAACCGCTTTGACCAGTTTGGTATCCGAGGTCTTGGGACGCAATTTCTAGAGAAGCTGAGCACCATGCGGTGTCTTAATACAGATTTTGAGACAATCATCTTTGTCTGTACACCTCGGGAACAGCAGGCTTTCCATAACATTAAGACAGAGCATGCCTCCGTGGAGCCAGCCAATGGCATTAGAGAATGTCTGCTATATGCCTTCATAAACTTGAGTTGCTATGGTCATTGTCAGATTTATTCTGAAAGCAGGGGATAAAAATATCTGCAAAGTTTAAAACCAATTTTGTCAAATAGTCTTTGAAACCATTTAAAATTTATCATAATTGGAAAAGTCTAGGCTTATGAAGTGTAAAGATGGAAGAGTAGGCTATTGCGCAAACAGCCTTCCTGAAGTGCACACAAGAAAGCAAACTTAGGAATTGATTAAACAGACTTCTGAGGCTGAAGGCAGGCTGCTGGAGGGAGTCAGGGAGAGACTTGTGTAGGTATATGAAGTATTCAGCAAAGATGTATCTCTGCTCTGGAGTCTGAGAGTAAGATAGTTCTCCGCAGACTGTAGCTTATATATCTACACCTGCATGTTTAAGACCATTTTTCAGCATCTTCACGGGGACTGCAGCCCCCTCTGGTTGATTTCTGTGCAAATGGGGCAACGTGACAGAAGTGTTGGAGGTAGCTGGGCTATGCTTATGTGACATGCAAGTATTACTGTGTTCTACTAGGTATGCTGGCTGTAATGATAGCTGTCCTTACAAACAGCTCATGCAGTGGTAAAGTACATTTTTCTTGCTTTTTGTTATGTTGCCCCTAATGGAAGACACCAGCAGGTCAGATCTTGTCGCTAACCTTTGCAGCTCAAACAGTAAGGAGAGGGATGAAGAATTTGTGAAAATCAGTTTGGTTGGACAAAAAACCTACAATTCCATATTTTTTTAAAAAAGAGGTAACAGCATTTTGAATTGTCAAACAAAATGATCTGACAGTGATCTTATTATGACATAAGGTGACATCTACTGCTGAATTTTCACAAAGAACAGGGATTGTTCAGTGTTTTCATTTTAACATTATTTTCAGTAATCCCCCCAAAGTCTTTTCATCCTTTTCAAAGAGGAAAGGTGTTCCCCTGTAGGAAAGCAGTACTGCTGAATTTTAGTCTGTATTATCTAATGGCCACTCATTACTGTCTTCAACAGACACCCTCTGAAGCTCTCAAGAGCTACAGGATTTAGGATTCTGTTTCAATTAAACAGGTCTATTTCAAGTACATAATGAATAATGTCCATTGGAAGGATTTACTCTTTAGCCTCGCAGAGAGATTTTTCTTTATTATTATTTCTTTTACTGCTGACTGTCCTAATATGACTTTTTCTAACAGCTTTCACAATGTGCAGAAGCTCAGAAAGCTTTTGGAGACCTTGGATACCAAAATTGAAAACTGTTAGAGCATTTTTTATGGTGGAGACAGCAGCACCTTTCCAGAGGTCACAGAGACCTCATTACTGAAAACACCTGGGTGGTTTTGCCTAATGGTACGGTTCTGTACCTTCTTTGTTTTGCAAATATCTCTGTGTAAAACTCACAAAATAGGCTGCAATGAAACACAATCTAATTTAAATGCCACTGTGAATCAGAAAAATCCAGTCTGCATTCCAAAATTCTGCCCAGACTTCCTGTGGTAATGCCATTTCTGACATAACACATCTTAATTCAATACTGTTTCCTCAGTTATGATTTCTTTTGGACTCCATTGGTCCTGGTGTGTCCTTTATTGGCATAGTCATATCATAGATCTTCGCAAGGTAAATTGCAGGGTTGCTTGGGGATTTTTTTTCTATGCCTTACAAGATCTGATCCTGATGTCATACCAATGTAAATATCAGCTGGCTACAGTGCAATCCAGTGCAACAGAACCAGAGATATTGGTGCGAGAATAAAGCTATTGGTAGGACATGAGTTTAAAACCTGTAGACTGCTGGATTAGGTGCAAAGTGACTTCAACATTAGCTTCTGATCTGCAATGTCCTGTGGAAAAGCTTCTTTCTGGTTCTGTTCACTCCTCATGGCAAATTAGAAAAATCGGCCTAACTTAAAAAGCCTTAATTAGGGGACAATTAGGGGAATGGCTGGAGAGCAGCCCTGAGGAGAAGGACATGCGTGTGCTGATTGACAAGAAACTCAACACGGGCTAGCAATCTGCGATCGCAGCCGAGAAGACCAACCATATCCTGGGCTGCATCAGAAGAAGTGTGGCCAGCAGGTAAAAGGAGGTGATTCTGCCCCTCTACTCCACTCTCATGAGACCCCACCTGCAGTACTGCATCCAGCTCTGGAGTCCCCAAGGACATGGACCTGCTGAAGGGTGTCCAGAGGAGAGCCACAGGGATGATTTGAGGGCTGGAGCAACTCTCCTGTGAGGAGAGGCTGAGAGAGTTGGGGTTGTTCAGCCTGGAGAAGAGGAGGCTCCGGGGAGATCTTAATGGGGCCTTCCAGTACCTAAAGGGGGCCTACAGGAGAGCTGGGGAAGGACTTTTTACTAGTGATAGTGATAGGACGAGGGGCAATAGCTTTAAACTGTAAGAGGGCAGGTTTAGATTAAACATTAGGAAGAAATTTTTTACTTTGAGGGTGGTAAGGCACTGGAACAGGTTGCCCAGAGAAGTTGTTGAGGCCCCATCCCTGGAGGTGTTCAAGGCCAGGCTGGATGTAGACTTGGGCAACCTGGTCTAGTGGGAGGTGTCCCTGTCTATGACAGGGGGGTTGGAACTCAGTGATCTTCAAGGTCCTTTCCAACTTAAACCATTCTATGATTCCATGATGTTTAGGTGCTATGAATATCTCCCGAATTAGCTGATTGCTAGCCTCCATGTCCATATTCATGCCTGGTACCAGTCTCCATAGTTGTGTGCACCTAGAGAAGCCCTAGACTCTTGTTATTGAATTTGTCACCATTATGGTTCTAGCAATAATGATTTTGAAAGAACGACAACAAGAAGGAGAGTATTTCATGAATTTAAAGAAAATTTTCTCTATCTGTGGGAATCATCTGCCTAAACATCAACTGCCTGTGCAACCACTATCTTGTTCACGAGACTTGTTTTCTCCCTTGCCCTGTTTTTTTTTTTTTTTTCCCTTCCAGATGATGATGTGAGGTCTTTATGCTGCACTGTGCTGGGAGACAATTACCTTGTGAGTGGGCAGCTGATGCAGTTGTCTGGCTCAGGTCCAATGCATTTCTGACAGGATGCTTCACACAACTGACATTCTTGGGAATCATCAAGATATTTCCCTGGTAGAAAACAACATGTTTATTTCAGATCAACTTCTCACGTTAAAAAAAAGCAACCAATACACCAAAATATAATGAGTAAAAAGAATTAGATCTGTTTTGAATTACTGAAATGAGAACATTTCCCTGTGGTATAATGAAAAAAAGTGCTGGCTCCCTTGGGGAACCAGCATACTCAGAATTAGTAGTTTCTAGTCCTTATTTATTTATATTTTCCATGTCAATCTGACAGAGTGTGATTCTTGTTATTTGGGTTAATACTATTTCTTTTGATCAGTTGAAGCAATGGGACTCTTTAAGATTCACCATGAAAAGTTACATCAAAACCAGTGCTACGTGTGAGTATTCATTACCTAATGTCCTTCAGTGCAGTTGTAACATGCTCCTGATTGCAATCTGCAGTATAAAGACTGTGCTCTCATGGGTGTGGAGTATGTTACCAGAGGAGAAGGACTTAAGTATGCTTCCATCAGTCAGAGACGTGATGGTGCTCCCCAAACCTCTAGCTATAGCATCTTTTGTCTACCTCCCAAGCCACTGCTGGAAGACTCCACACCTAAAGACCTAGGGTCTCACTTATGCGGAATGAAAATTTCGTAACCAAGCACCCACTTGGACTTGAAAAAAAATATTTTGTGTTATATGAATTGTTGCCTTCCAGATCATGAATACACTCGTACTACTATGGCACCGAAGTACAAAATTTACCTCTTTATTTACTGCATATTAATTTAAATATTGGTACAAACTGGTAAGCTGTACATTTATAACTCTCAGAAAAGACATATTAATTTGGTAATTAGCATGAATACGGTATCTGTGTGCAGGATCATGTGGGGACAGTAAATCGGTTTATCAAGCAGTTTTATAAAGCTCAAGATTGGGTCTTTTATGTCAGTTTGTTATGGGAAAACTTATTCTAACTGAGTCTATACATTTGAGAGAATTGGCTGTTACTTCATTCTTAAGTAATGGAAGAGGTTGGGCAGAGAGTCCTATATAATACATAAACCCTGCAGTTTCTATGGATACTTCAATATGGAGAAACTCTTTCCACTTGCATTGCTGCTGGGAAATCTGGATTTGGCAAACGCAGTGAACTTTAGGAGTCAAAATACAAATGTGGAATGACTTGGTTTTGGCTCTCAGTTGTAATGGGTTCCTTACATTGAAAAGCAAAGACACTGTACAAGCAACTATTGCTATAAGTGTAAAACTATGTAGGAAAGAAACACTTTCTAAAATACTGTAAATTACGTTCTCCATCCCTTGTGTTTTCTACTCCATATTAATCTGTATTAACAAATTTTAATATAGCTGAAATCTCTGCTATGACATATAAACTAGGATAGCACTTATCATGCTTAAGGGGATGGGAACAGTATAGTTAAAAAGGCATACCAACTGGAATGTCCAGCCAACAGTGGGACAAAGCTGAGGTACCCAAAATGTAGGTAAAGACACAATTTTCATTTTGTAAGGGTTTATGTGTCTCCTGAAGAAAGGAAAAAGGTACAAGATGAGCCAAAAGCCAGTGACAGAGACACATGAAACAGGAAGACTGTGCTCCTCAGAGGCTGGTCTGAGATCAGTGCTAGCTGGGAAGAAGTTCAGAACTGGGAGCAAATGAACAGTCTCTTGATGAGATCAGGGAAACAGAAATCTGTGTATGCATACACATTCACACAGTTTTATAGTTCTTTTTATCCAAAGAGGATTTTGTAGATACATATTTACATGCATTTATGTAATCCCATACAGACCAAACCTTGAATTGTGTAAATTGACATAATTCCCTAGAAATGGTGTAGCTTTTCTGAACTGCAACACTGTATCTTGTATGATAGACTACTTTATAAAAGACTGATAATAAAAGACATTATAAATTGTATATCTGTTTGACATAGAATTCAGCAAGATTCTGAATTTATCCAGATATTACTGAGATACAATGTTGTATTGATGAATAACTATCACAATACAGAGTATTTATAACTCTAACATTCTAGAAAAAAAGACTGACCTGCTGTCCAGCAGACCATCAGGCCATTGACAGATTTGTTTAATGTAGGCCTCCTGAGTCTTTCTGATACATATTCAGAGGGTATAACATGCAATCCCATGATCTCAAATGCTTTATGAGATTTTTAAAATACAATTTAATAAACACACACACACACATTTATTAGGATAATACACAACCACCAAAAAATGCAATATCTGGAACATCTTCCTATTGCAGGTCTGGTGGCTTGGTGTTTTATACTCACAGCTTTACATCACTGGGAAATCTGTCAGGGCAATGTTATTAAATAATTGTTTCTCTGGTGTTGTTTTGTGATACATGTTAGAAAATCTTTTTGTTTCTCCAGTCCTTCACTTTATTTCCCTGCACTGCCTGTATGCTTATCCATCGGACCTGAGCTACTAATTCATACACCTCAGCTATGCCCACTCAAATCCTTCCCACATGGTAGAAGTGCTTAGTTTTAAAAGGGTTTTGTTATTTCTTTGTTATGCCTTTCATTGGAAGTGCTGTAATTCATTTCAGCTGTGCTGGAATAATGCCAGAAAGGCCAGTTCTCTGCTTACTTTATCCTCCGAGTTGAGGCATTTTAAACCATACTACTATAAAAATGTGCACCAGAAAATACTTACATATTAGGCCCTCCGAATTGCAAGTAACACCTAGAACCGTAGATCTGCCACTAAATGTTAACGAAATAGTTTTTAGTGGATATTAAAAGAGTGAACACTAAAATGCAGCTTTAAAGAAGACTTCTAAACTATTCCACAGGGCAGTTTGTTTGCCAAAGTTCTTTGTGGGCGATATATTTCTTTACAAATCTTGCTAGATAAATACTAGTCACTGAAGCCTCAACTCTCTTTTTCTTTTCTTTCTTCTGTGTTAAAATTCTTTATCTGTCCGACATACATAATGGAGGAATACTCCCAGCAGTATGTCTCAGCTATGCCTTCAATCAGGCAATGCCAGTCAGTTACTTTGGATCATCCCATGTTTAACCTTCATTTATTTCTCAATTCTGTTACTTTGTCATCTGGTTTAAAAACATTTGTCACCTTGTTTAAAAAAAGGAATCCAAGGTGTTATAGGAATAAGGCTATGTTAACAGACATAATTCCTCATAATGGGAAGATTTGCATGTATAATTTTTTGTGTTCCTAGTTAGAAAAGTTTAATTCCACATCTGAGCCATGTCAGGTTGCAGGCTGAGCCTTTAACCGCATACAAGAGCCCTACACTTATGCTGAGTTCCTGTCAGTTGATATGATGCATTTTAAAATGAGGTAAGGACTATTATCTCCCATTAAGGAGGCAGAAAATCTTGAGTTGCATTAAGATCGTCAAGTTAGGGTGCAATAGCAAACTAGAACCTGTCTCTCCTGAGTTGCAGCCTAGAGCACTATCATAGTTGCCAGGTTGTCCCTATGTCTTTGCATAAGCAGTATTAAGTGTACAGCCCTGATTTTGTCACAATTTCTCTCCTGCTTTCAAAAAGCAGTGCCATTCATTGACAGCACGTGGTGTTTCAGGAGACCAGTTAGATGAGGGTGTGAATATCCTTCTAAGTTATGCCTGGAGACATACAGATTTATGTGCTGACAGTCATAAATGAATCTTTCCCTTGTAGTGCCCCCCATGAGACTTAGTCACTCCAAGTCACCTGTTACTTCCCCCCTTTTCTGAATCAAAACATCACTGTATCTGGTTTAAAAATGTTAATTGATTATCTTTTACAGCATTGCCCCAGTGGCTTTTCTTTATCATCAATGAAAAAATGACCTTACTTCCTCTGTTTTGCTTGTTTACTTCCATGGGAACCTGGATATGGATTTTATACTTGGGCTTTTGTATCTAATCTTATGGGTTACAAAGGTTTCACAGAGCAGATAAAGAAACATTGATCAGAATTGTTTTTCATCAATCAACAGTGAGAACTGAGAGGATTTGATCTTAGGGAGCTCTCTGCTTTTTCCATGTTTCGCCTTGATACATTTTATTTTGGCTGAATTGTAGGATCAGCTCCTTGAGTTTTGCTGAAGAAGTGTTTATCTATAAAGCTTAAATCCATAAGGAACTTAGACTAACCTGCATATAGCAACCCATTAAAATTCAGCCTGAGGATTCCTCTTAAAGTTAGCTGTCTGTTTAGCCCAAAGCCTTAAAGTTTGTTAGATTACAGCTCTCTCAAAGAAATCTTGTCTTCATCTTGAAAATGTTAGGACATGGAGACTATGGCATTTCCTTTACCCCAGATTTTGAGCAGTCATACAAAATTTGAGCTGGGTTTCCAATTATTTGTCTAGCTTCACGAAGTGGCTACAGCAGCAGTGGACAAGGGAAGAGCAACCGATGTCATCTACCTGGACTTGTGCAAAGCGTTTGACAGTGTTCCACATGATGTCCCGGTCTCTAAATTGGAGAGACATGGATTTGACAAATGGACCACTCAGTGGATAAAGCACTGGCTGGACAGTCGCACTCGAAGAGTTGCGGACAACTGCTCGATATCCAAGTGGAGAGCAGTGACAAGTGGCGTTCCTCAGGGGTCGGTACTGGGACCTGTACTGTTCAACATCTTTGTCAAGGACATGGACAGTGGGGTCGAGTGCACCCTCAGAAAGTTTACCGATGAGACCAAGCTATTTGGTGAGGTAGACACACTCGAGGAGAGAGATACCATCCAGAGGGACCTGGACTGGCTGGAGAGGTGGGCCCAAGCCAACTTCATGCAGGTCAACAAGGCCAAGTGCAAGGTCCTACATCTGGGTTGGGGCAATCCCAAGCACAAATATAGGCTCGGCTGGGAATGCCTGGAGAGCAGCCCTGAGGAGAAGGACATGTGTGTGCTTATTGACGAGAAGCTCAACATGAGCCAGCAACGTGCGATAGCAGCCCAGAAGGCCAACCGTATCCTGGGCTGCATCAGAAGAAGTGTGGCCAGCAGGTCAAAGGAGGTGATTCTGCCCCTCTACTC